CTCCCCGAGTGGAAAGACCTGACATGCGCTGTTTCCACGCACTGAGTTAACGCCCCTCACTGGGGACGCGGGGCCCCAGTCTTGCTCTCCTGGGCATCAGCCACTGCGAGTGGGACCCAGGCTTCGGCCTTGACCTCTGCGGACTCCTTCCTGGGCCTCTGGGTCCCAAACGATCCCGCCTCCCCAGCCTGAGTCCGCCCTCTCCTCCCGGAAGGATTTTAGGAGTGTGGGAGTGAGTGATTCTCCACTCACCCCAGATCCTATGAGAGTTTTTAAAAATAAGTGACACCCCGTCCTTAGAAGCAGGGAACTCATTGAGGACGACCCAGTGTCAATGGCCGCAGATGCGCTGCGTGTGTCCCCAAGGGTCTCCGCAAGACCCTTCCCTTTCCGTGCCAGGAACACTGATATTCTCAGGTTGCCTTTGCAAGACGCTCTCATTTTTTCTCACCGGCCCTTTGGGAAAACAATGTTAACCTAAACAACGCCAGTTTACACTGGGAATATACATTTAACGAGATCAAAGAGGATTGGAGCCGCCCATTTATTTTTGGCTTGGGTTAAGGCCAGAAAAAGAGCTCTCTGGTTTGCCCTTCCTCTAGCTGCGTTCATATTTTTTCAAGTGGGGGCAAGTGAACTTGATCACGGTGGATTCTAGGCTTCCTTCTGTTCTTATAGGTGTGTAACTTTGTTCTTGTTCTCTAACAAAACCATCAGTATTTTAAATTTTACGATAATATAACCATAAAGTATTTGTTGCTGTTGGTCTAAGTCGGGGATTTTAGCCAATTATCAAAGGTCTAGATTTCTGTTATGCTTGTAAAGTGTTTTTAAATATTAGCTTATGAATGCAGAAGATAATTTATTTGCATAAAGAATAATAAGCATGTCCACCTTATTAGTTCTCAAGAGGACTTAGTGTTGCTTTAAGTCCATTTCATCACAAAATACATGAACACAGGGAAAATGAGGGGACCCAGAGCCTCTTGATCAATGTTTGTAACTTATCTCCATTTCTCCTTCCTTCCACCCACAGGGATTACAAAGAAAAGAATTGCTTTTTATGGGAACTTCTTTGACTATATATATCTGTCATATTATTGCTTATACTAGAAGCATTTTCAATAAAAGTTTAATAATGAGTTATTCCCTCTCGGTAAAGAAATTAGGGGATTAGTGGAGGTGACCTACCATGGCATCATCCAAAACAGGAAAACATTGTTTTCACAGTGGAAACCTCTGTAGTCATTAGTTTTCTTTGACATTTCCTGGAATTCTTGATTGTCTTGGCTCTCTGATACCCAAACACAGATTACCATGTGACATAATGCGAAGCAAATAAATAATGTTTGCGAGACTTAATTTGCCTTTGACAATGTGTATTTGTACAGGTTTGCAAGGGTGTATCCAGAGTATGCTAACTAAAATTACTGAGCTGACATCTACATTATTGATGATTTGAGATAAGATTGTATTAACTTTTCCCATTATTGTGTCAATGTAGGCCATCTTATAAAAGTGTGGCATATTATCCTTTGAGAATTAAATTTGTTTAAAGCAAAAGTGAAAATAATTTTTTAAAAATTCATTCAATAAGCATTTTATTGAGTGTCTCCAGTTTTGTCCGGGCCAGTAAAAATAAAATGGAGTCAAATTTTTCTTTTCTTTTTTTGACAGTAACTGAATAGAGATGGCTAAAAATGGGGATGGCTCCAGAAAGACAAAATGTGAGATAAAAGTTTATTACTCCCACAATCAAATCGGCCTTGGCTGCTGGCTAGTCAGGGTTTAATGATGCTTGTTCTCTTGCTTCCATCAGTTTTATCACAACTGAAATGTTTGCACAATGTCTGTTTGCTGAGGGGCCAGCAGCTGTCTGTCCCTTTCAAAGTGATTACCATCAGATCTGATCAATTAGCCTTACTCCACAGAAAGGGACCCACTTCCCTGGAATGCTTTCATGTAATAGATGAATGTTTAACAGTGGCTGTTTAGAATCAGTGTTGTCTAAGGCAAAGGTGTGAGTGCTTCTGGTGGCAGAACTCTCAAAGCAAATAGAATGTAGTAGTTCAGGGAGAAGGAGTTTGGGGGGCCAGTGAGGTGAGGCTTTTGCCCTTTGCACTACCCGGGAGCCTGCCCCTGTGGTGAAAAGTCTTGCCTATGGAAGTATAGATGCGGCAGAGTTCTGCCTGGTAAAGAAAGGTTTCTTTCTTTATGTTTGATCCACAAGTTTTCAGTACAAAAGGATAATGTTCCCAGGATGTTTATTGAACTCCTTGCTATGTACAAAGCACTGTGGGGATATTCAATATAGTGGAAGACCCAAACTCTTCCTTCTATGAATATTATTAGGTGTTTGGGAGACTGAGCTATGTATGGAACTCCAAAACAAGGCAGTATGTGGGAAGTGTCATGTGAGTGATATAAAGACCTGTGGAAATTCAGAGCCAGAAGGCTTTTAGATGGCGCCATCAAGGACGTTTTGTGGAAAGGTGGTGTTTGAGCTGGACACTTAGGATGGACAGAATTTCACTGAGGGGAGTACACAGGGAGAGGGCACTGCAGGAAAGGAAAAAGCCCAAGGGACCAAGGAGCAGCCCCCATGGCCTAGGCAGGTGCCTTTCTGAACGTCTCCCTACCTAGCATACAATTCAGTAGTCATTCTGGATGCAGTAGAAGATGGAGACTGAAGGTAAAGTGAAAATATGGTTTGGGGTCTTCGATGTCATCATGGATTGCCTTGAAGCACTGGTGAAGAAGCTTGGACTTTATCTTGTAGGCAGTGAAAGGCCATTTAAGTTTTTTTAGACAGGGAGTGCAAGAGTCAAAGCAAATTAAATAACAAAAATTAAAATTAGGGTTAGCAGGATTCAGAGACCTCAAGCTGGCCAGCTGTGGACTAAATCCAGCCTATAGATGTGTCTTGTTTGACCTGCAGAGAAGTTTCAAAAATGTTTAATACGTTGCCAACATTTTTTTTTAAGTCAAAACCTCACTCTGTCGCCCAAGCTGGAGTACAGTGGTATAATCATGACACCACAGCCTTGACCTCCTGGGCTCAGGCGATCCTCCTGCCTCAGCCTCCCAAGTAACTGGGACTACAGATATGTACCCGCATGCCTGGCTAATTTTTGAATTTTTTTTGTAGAGATGAGGTTTCGCTATATTGCCCAGGCTGGTCTTGAACTCCTGGGCTCTAGAGATCCTCCCACCTCAGCTTCCCAAAATGCTGGAATTATAGGCATGAGCCACTGTGCCTGGCTACATTGCCAACATTTAAAAACGAGAAGCTTAAATATAAAATTTCAAGTTTCCATCATCTCTTTAAATATTAGATGTTCTAGCAACACTGGGCCTTTTTTCCCCACATGGTCACTGAGCTGGAGCTCACGTTTAAAGCAGATTGTGCTCCCCACTGTAGCTCTTCCCTTTGTTCTCATTTCTTTTACCTCCTGACCCCTGTAGGCAGTTTATTTTTATTTTTTATTTTTATGGCTACGTAACGGTGCATATTTATGGAGGACATGTGAATTTTCGATACATGGGCATTTAATCTGCAGCCAGTGCTAGAGTCTGTTATTTTGTCTCCACCGTTAACTTGTGTCCTTGCACAAGTCACAGGGTCTCAGTTCCCTTACTGTTAAAATTAGGGTTGGACTAGAAGATCTCCAGCCTCTCTTATGCTACATGGTTGAATAAAACTGGGCCAAACCAGCAAGGTTTTAGAAGGAATGGATAGGCGAGGAAGAATGTGGGAAATACTGTGAAGGAGTGTTCTTGTTTTTGGTTCTTTAAGTTTATGCATGTTGCTAAATATCTAAATGGACCAGGACATTGTCAGAAAGAGTTATTCTGCGTAGGGTGCGATGAAACTTCAGAATTTTTATGCCCTTTATTTGAACTTTTGATTCTTCAATGACTTGGATTTTTAAAGTCAACATATTTAAAGGAAAATTGATACAACTTGGCAGGGAATCGGCAAAACGAAGAGACTGACATTTGTTATGCATTTACTATGTGACACTTTACAGTTATTATCTCATTTGAGCCCCCATCAACCTCGTAAGGTACATATTATCCTCACTGTTCATGTAAGGAAACTTGTGTTAAATAACTTGCCCCAAGATCTTACACTTAGAGGGTTTAACTGCAAAACTATTTTTATTCCATGCCTGAAGGCCATTGCTAGAAACTAAGACTTGAAAACAATAAAATGAATATGGCTTCTCTTGCTATACTTGAGAAAAATCATGCTGAGTTTTATATTGCCCTTTTATTAATTTGGCTTTGCTACCATCTATTTCTTTTCTGCTGGTAACTGCGTATGACTGTCTCTTAAAGAAAGAAAAAGGAAAAACTTTCAAATAATCACAGGGTGGGGATCCTTCCTAAGAAAAATCCTTCTTTCTATTTTGTTTATACTTACTGACTTTTTTCCCCTTCCTTGTGTATCCAGTGTGGCATTTTTTCTTTACCAGATTTTCTAGGACATGTATACATAATGTAGCAAGAGGAAGGAAGGAAGGAAGGGAGGAGGAGAAGGGGGAGGAGAGAGAGGGAGAAAAGCTGGGATAGATTCCCCTAAAATAACTGTATCAAAGCTTTTGCAAATAAATAAGCCTCCTGGTTGTTAGAGGAACTGAACTTTAATTATCTTGTGAATTTGGCAGACCAGGTATTTACAATTAAATCAACCTGATACTCTCCTTATGGCTTGATTCATATGCACTAGTTATAATATTCACAAATATTCCCAGGTTATGGGAAATTTTGCCAGTGTACATGTTTACATGGCCTAGTTTCTTCCAAAATCATTTTTACAAGGAATAAAAAGGAACAGAATGGACAGAGGGAGAACCTGTAGATTAAAATAGACTTAAGAGACATAGAAAAAAGAAAAAAGACACCGCTGTACTACAGCATTTAGGGGTACACACTTGGGTGATAAAGCTATGAGGAAAAGTCAAAGGGTGATTGCTACAAAATCAGGCCTGTAGTTCCTCTGGGGAAGGGAGAGCGTTGTGATTGGATGGGACAAAGAGAGGGTTTGGGTGGGGGTCCCATTTCTGTTTCTTGATGGTGGTTACAAGGGTGTTTGCCTTATGATAATTCATTGTAGTAATTTATTCATCTAAATAATTCTCTTTGTGGTTGTCTCTATTATATTCTACAATTTTAAAAAGTTTAAAAAATAGTATTAGCATTGCTATAATGATTTCAACTTGTTTGTTTTAGCCAGGTAGAGTGGGAAATTGTAGGCCATATTCATTTTGTTTGTGTATGAGAGTTACCTAAGCAATTTCTTTTAAAAATGTTGATGATAGTTCACATTGGTATTTGAGAACTTACTATAGATAGGCTGACATTTCCCAGATCTATCCTTTTTGTTCTTGTATGATGCTGCTTTAAAGCTTAGCCTCTTTACAAGAAGTGTTGGCAAGTTTCTCCATTTCTTGGCTTTTTCTATTGAGATGGAAATAATAATAACATATATATAGCTTATAGCATTGTTATAGAAATAAAATAAGATAATGCATGTAAAATAGCTAGCAAAGTGCCAGACACATAGAAAGTACTTGATAAACACTAGTCTTACAATCAACCTATATTATAGGAAATGTCATAAAAATATATACCTAATAATCAGTTATTTCTGGACTTAGTTCATTGCAAATGGAAATAAAAAAGTCTTGTCAGTTTTTTTATGTACCTTTGCTTTCTGTAATCTATAACCACTGTTTCTCTTTTTCTAGTGCCTTCCTCACTCTTTGACTCCCCTTCACTCTCCAGGAGTAATCACATCCTAGAACACTTTCTAATCGGGGTAATTTCCTAGTTGGAACACTTGATATCTTGAAGTCCTAGGGCAAGAATTCTTCCCATGTCTTTGGCCACTTTCTAGACTTCTAGGTTGGAAAGAGGGTATGTGTAGCACTGGGAACAGCAGGCCAAGGTGTTTGGTGGCAGTAGTGTGATCATATTTCATAGACCTGACTATACTTTGACCACCAGTAGGACCAGCACCCCATCCTGGGAAGATGCATTTAGTGTTAACATAGGACTCTGTGCTATTCATTTTAGCTTGGGTTGTTTTTTGTTTGTTTTTTCCTAGAGGACCAGTATTCCTCTGTTCAGCTTTGTACCTTATAACTGCCCCTCCAGCCTGCCCCATATTCCAACAGGCTTACCTTCTACATAGAGTCAAAGATCTTTACCCAGTCTGTCATCGTCCATCAGTGTCCTAATTGCGGGGTGGGGGGAGGTTGCAGATAGCACTCCACTTCCCCTCCACATACTTCTGAGGGTGTATACACCTACCCATTTGCTTCACCTTGTCACTTGCATAGCCTGAGGTCTCTTTCAGCACGGTATCTTGTCATCTTTGGCACACATCAGGGGGTGCTGACTGATCCCTAATGTAAATACAGGCTAATATATGTTTAGTCATGAGCTTTGTTCCTCACTGAAGATTGTGCTTGCCCTGACATGACTTCTTCAAAGACCCACTCTGAGCTTGGCAAGTCATACCAGGTCTTGTATCATGAATATCCTACTGCCTTTCCTGCCACCTCCTCACTGGCTTCCTATAATAAATCACCTGCTTTAGTCTGTTTTGTGCTGCTATGACAAAATACTACAGACTGGGTAATTTATAAACAATAGAAGTTTATTTGGCTCATGGTTCTGGAAGCTGGTAAGTTCAAGGTCCAGGGGCCACATCTGGTATCTGGTGAGGGCCTTCCTACTGCGTCATAACATGGCAGAAGGGGTTGCCCTCATGACTGAATCACCTCTTAAATATCCCACCTCTCAACAACATTGCACTGGGGATTAAGTTTCCAACATGTGAACTTTGGGGAACACATTCAAACCATTGCATCACCTGACCTCACCTCATCTTTGTAACTCTCAAATTGTTTCCTTCTTTAGGAACTTGAACCACTGGCCTGAGCTTTTTGTTTTGTTTTGTTTTGTTTTTTTTAAGTCAGAGTCTCACTCTGTCATCCAGGCTGGAGTATAAGGCTCACTACAGCCTCAACCTCCTGGGCTCAGGCCATCCTTCTGCTTCAGCCTCCCAAGTAGCTGCGACTATAGGCACACACCACAAAGCCCAGCTAATTTCTTTTATTTTTTTTTGTAAAGATGAAGTCTCACCATGTTGCCCAGACTGGTCTCAAACTCCTGGGCTCTAGAGATCCTCCTGCCTTGACCTCCCAAAGTATTGATGTTACAGGCATGAGGCACCATGCCTGGCCAGGCCTGACTTCTTTAGGTTGCAATAGTAGTCAGTCTCTCTTTCAGTCTTTGAACTTGACTTCTCCACAAAGGAATGCTTTGTAAATTGAAAAAATGTAGATTGTATATAGAAAGTCTAACTTTAACTGACTTAAATAATGAGATAAATTAATACATTTGGATGATATAAAAGACCAGAAGGACTCTGGGGTCAGGCAAGTTTTCAACCCGGTGCTAACATATCTAACAATATGGTAAATGCTCAGTTTGCCACTCCCATTTTCAACTTTTCTTCAGTGTTGTTGGTTCCACTTTTAACAGGCTTACCCCTCCAAGCAACATACTTCCTTTTATTCCCAGGAGGGAAGAGCTTGACTTTCTCAACCAATAATGAGAAAACATGGGCTTTAATCTGACTGGATGAGCTTTGGTCCATGTCCTGTCCCATATACCAGTCAGTAAGGCCAGAGTTACTGGGCTTGGTATTCTTAAAGCACATGGGCACCCTTGAGAAGCACTGGATACCCACATGAAACAGA